GCTCATATCAGAAGGAAGGGCTCCTTCTTGCCCGGGCTGTGAGGTCAGGCCATAAGAACATAAGAGAAGCCGATGTTGGATCAGGCCAATGGCCCATCCAGTCCAACACTCTTGTCACTCAGTGGCCAAAAATACCAGGTGCTATCGGGGGGTCCAGCAGTGGGGCCAGGACACTAGAAGCCCTCCCACTGTTGCCCCCTCCCAAGCACCAAGAATACAGAGCACCCCTTGCCCCAGACTGAGAGTTCCTACCCAGGGGTCATTTCCTGCGGGAGCTCACAGGAGCGGAGCTATGGCAGTAAGGAGCCCAGGGGGTGGGCACATGCAGCAAACCCCGCCCCCTGATCCCAGCAGCCCTCAGTCACGGAACTGAACAGGGATCTTCAGGGGCCTTGCTCTTCTGGGCTCTCCTGGTCCCTGATTTCCCCTCTCTTTTGCTTTCGCCTTCTGCCTTGGCGTCCCTCACCGCTGGCCTGAAGTGTTCTTGAGGCTTGACTCACTGTGCCTTTCCTGGGAGGGTGTTCCCTTGCTCGCTGCCTCCTCTCTCCCTCGCTTCCTCTGCGGTGCTGCCATGTAATCCCCCACCCCCCGCGTAATATTGTTCCTGGCTGGCTCGTAAACTTGGCAGGCTGTTTTGTGAAGATGCTACGCAGATGGGTTTGGCTGGTCTCGCTGTCCCTGGCTGGATCACTGCAGGGGAATTTTCCTTCATCTGGTTGAAGCTCGGGCATGCTGGCGCCGGTGTCCCCAGGCGCTTTCGCACAGTTTGACGGCATCACCTTGGGATGCCTGCTGCGTGTGAAATGGCACTTCTGCACACCGTGATATCTTTTGGGGAAAATGTTCCTCGTTCCCAGGTGAGATCATTTCGGGGGGGATCGCGGGGGATCGCAGTTCCCCCGGGTGAGGTATGGGGGCGGGGCACATGACGAAGCCCCGCCCCCCGCTTCCGGCCGCCCCGCTTCCGGCCCTCATTCAGCCAGGAGGAGGCAGGAGAAGAGGGAGGGTAAGTTGCTTCCTCCCTGTCTCTCCCCACCCCTGCCTGCCTGGGGCCAGGGAGGGCCTCGCGGGGCTTCCTTGCACTCCCGCCGGCCTTGCAGGTCCACCGCCGGGCCCCTCATGGGGCTCGGCAGTGGAGCTGCAAGGCCAGCGGCGGCCGGGACTGTTGGGGGCGGGGTGTGTGGCCTTATGACACACTTCCGGTGATGTCAGGGGGTGTGGCATATACTAATGAGTTATGCTAATGAGTTCCCCTAGCTCTTTTTCTACGAAACGACCCCTGCACAGGGCTATTGGTTTTTGGAGGGCGGTTCATGCCTTTTCACTTGTTAAGGATGCCTGGGGATCCCCTACAATTACAGCTTGTAAAGTACTGGGTTCGCCGCATGGAGACTCGGACTATGCGTTCAGACGCGTTTATTGTACTTCACAACCAGGGGTCACTTCCTGCAGGAGCGCACAGGAGCAGAGCTTCGGCGGTAAAGAGCCAAGGGGGCGGGCACATGCAACAAGCCCCACCCCCCTGCTCCCAGCAGCCCTCAGTCAGAGCAAGAAGCAGCCAGGTAAGTTGTAGAGTCCCCCCCTCCCCGGCCCGCCGGTCCAAAACAGTCCAGTGGCACCTTTAAGACCAAGTTTTATTCAGGTACAAGCTCTCCCTCCTCTGTGAGGACAGATCTGCACGTCCCCCCCCCCATAGCTAGCAATCCAAAACAGTCCAGTGGAGCCTGAGCGGTGGGTGTTGCCTTCTGACACACTTCCGGTGATGTCAGGGTGTGTGGCATATGCAAATAAGTTATGCTAATGAGTTATGCTAATGAGCTCCTGCACCTCTTCTTCTACGCAATGACCCCTGCTTTACACACGAGACAAAATCTGGCCCTGCAAAGGCCAACTATATACACTTCACCCGGCACACCCCGGTTCCCATCGGAGGGTTTGAATTTCCCACCAGAGGGTCGATTGCTGGACACACGGTGGACTAGGATCCTAGGTTCCCTTTGTGTTCGGGACCCAAGCTCCTGCTTTAGCCACGGACCCCTGTTGGCAGTCCGCGTACATAATACAGCTCATCCTCCAGACTACAGAGATCACTTCCCCTGGAGAAAATGGATGCTTCGGAGGGCAGACTCTGGCATTGTACCCCACTGGGGTCCCTGTCCTCCCCATACTCCATCCCCAAATCTCCAGGAGTTTCCCAACCTATATCTGGCAACCCTGTGCCCCCCCATCTCCTACCAGTGGCCATGGGGGACCTGGCAACCAGTGTTCCCTCTAAGCCAGGCCCGTAGCTAATGCGGGGCCCGCAGGGCTTGGCCCCCTAGCAGTTTTTACGGGCCCCCTTCCTGAGCCTCGGCTCCCCTACCCCAACTCCCCCTGATTGCCTGTCAGCCTGTTGGCAGGGAGGACAAGGGCAGTGATTTCAGAGGCTGTCTGTGGTGCTGTGCCGTGGGAAGAGGCACTGGGGCTCCTGGGGGGGGGGAGCTGGACCCGGAGGCTGTGGCTGCTGCAGCCCTTGCCCTGGAACCTTTGATTGGATTAGCAGGCGCCCCCCCCCGGCCCCCTCCCTACGGGGCTGCTCTAAGGTGAGTTAGTGTGAGCTAGCTCACAGTTTTTTAGCCTCCGGCTCACACATTTTTGTCTTCGCTCAGGAAGGAGGGCTCCGGAGCAAAACTGATTTATGCCGTAGCCGAATGGCTCGCTCACAACTTAAATGCCAGTAGCTCACAAATTAGAATTTCTGCTCGCAAGACTCCACAGCTTAGAGGGAGCATTGTTGGCATTGCCTTCTTCCTGCAGGGTGGCTGGTCATAGTTACTGGTTGAAATGCACTCTGCACATGCTTCATTGTTTGTCAGAAAAGGGTGCGGCATCTGGCTCGGGTGAAGTATGCATGACGAAGGTTTTAAGAGCATCCATGTATCTCAAACAGGGGCGGATTAACCATGAAGCAGACTGAGCACGTGCTTAGGGCGCCAGGGCCAAAGGAGGCACCACAAAGTGGGGGAAAGGGGGAAAAGCTTAGTTTGTACAGTCTATTGCATTATCCTATGAATAAATTTTGGTATTGCTGCAACCTGCATTGTATATCTGGTCAGACAGGTCAGCAACTGAAATGGACTGGGTCAGTGTGGAAAGGAGGGGGGGCACCAAGATTGGTCAGGGCTTAGGGCACCGGTGAGCCTTCATCCGCCCCTGATCTCAAAGCCTCGGCAGTGGCAGCTGTCTTGTTAACGAGGGAGCTGCCTTCTACGGGGCAAGTCAGAGCCATGAATCCCAGCACAAGCATTTGAACCTGGGACTTTCTGTGGCCCCAGCCTGAGCTCGGGCTCCTTGTACATTAGCTGACTTGATTCCCTTTATACAGGGCTTTTTTTGTAGAAAAAGCCTGGCAGGAACTAATTAGCATAATAGGCCACACCCAACAACAGAAACTCATTAGCATATCCAGCCGCACCCCTGAAAGCATAGCTCATTAGCATATTAGGCCTCACCCCACGTTACCAGAAGTATGGTCATCCAGCCACACCCACCTTTGGCTTCTTATTCTGTTTACCTTGTTTGTGGTCAAAACCCAGGGCCTTTTTTTGTAGCAGGAACTCCTTTGCATGTTAGGCCACACACCCCTAATGTGGCCAATCCTAATGAGTTTCTGATGTTGGGTGTGGCCTGTTATGCTAATGAGTTCCTGCTGGGCGTGGCCAACTTGGGAGCCAGCCGGAACTCCGTTCCTGTGCGTTCCTGCCCAAAAATAGCCCTGCCTTTATACAAACCCACTTTCTGCTATAGAGCTCCAGGCTGCCAGGCGTAGAGGTTTTCTTTGGGCTTGTTTCAAATCTCTGCTAGAATCGGGAGCATCACCCTGTGGCCAGTGTTCCCTTTAAACCGAGTTTGTGTGAGCTAGCTCACAGTTTTTGAGCCTCCGGCTCACACGTTTTTGTCTCAGCTCAGGAAAGAGGGCTTCGTCCAGAGCAAACTAATTCATGCAATAGCCAAATTGCTCCCTCGCAACTTGAATGCCAGCGGTTCCCAAGGTAGGGTTTTTGCTCACAAGACTCCACGGCGTAGAGGGAGCATTGCTGGCAGCCCTATCACTTGTCCAAGCTTGTACGGATATGCTGAGTTACAGCGCAATCCCAGGCTCAGTTATTCTCCCAGCAGAGAACCATAGAATCCTAGGGTTGGAAGGGATCTCCAGGGTCATCTAGTCCAACCCCCTGCACAATGCAGGAAACTCACAAAGACCTCCCCCCCACCCCCAGTGACCCCTGTTCCACACCCAGAAGATGACCCCCCAAAAAAGCCTCCAGGATCTCCAGCCAAACCGACAGCGAATGGAAAACAATGACGGAAATATCAAAGAATGGTAAAAGAACACTCGCTCATCATCCCAGCAGAGGTGAAAACACCCGCCTCCGCTGCCATTGGCTGGGCTGCTGTGATGTCACAGATTAGCCGTGCTCCAGGAGGCAGCCCGCCCAGGAGGAGAACGAGAGCGGGGGAACAAACAACAACAACAACAACAACAAGGAATGTACAGTCCTTTCGGTCCGTTCACACAGTCGGCCCTCGAGGGAATATTAATGTGAAGGGCGCATTAATATTTCAGAGGGATAATAGAGAGGTTGAGTGATAGGCATCTGGACGAAGCCCACAGGCAGGAGAGATCTAGCGGCTCGCTCCGGCTGACAGACAGCCACTCCCAGCTGCCCGGCCTCCCCACTACCAGCCTGCCCAGAAGTCCTTGCTTGTCTTCCTCCAGACGCTTCTTTTCCCTAGCTTGCCCTTTTTCTTTCCTCCCCTCTCTTGGGGAAGGGGGGGGGACATATGAACTTTTCACCCCCTGATCCCCAGGCTAGAGACCCATGATCTTGCGTCAGCCAATCCCCTCTGGCCATCGCCAGCTCACTCCCCGTGCAGAAGTCCCAGGCTATTTTTAAACTGCCAGGGAGTTGCTACTTGCTTTGCTGGCCTGGATTTCTATCGCCCCCCCCCCCTTCTGTGCCAGAGAGGAGCCAGGGGGTGACAGGCGGCCATGCAGAGGGTGAGTGGGGCCGTGAGGGTGGTGGTGGTGGGGCTGAAATGGTAGGAAATCGGGGACTTTCCTCGGCCAAAGCCTGGGAAAGTTTGCAAACGTATTGTTTTGCAGCTGAGAACAAAAATGTGGCTTCCGGCAGGCCAGAGACTTGAGTTACCATTTGAATCCGGCTTCAGGGCTTAAGTCAGGATCGGATTTCAGGGCCGGGGGGGGGGGGTGTTCCTACAGAGAGAGGTCTCTTGAGCCTGTGCAGAGTGTCGCTCTTTTTCTTTCCCACAAACAGGGAGAGGCAAATCTATGCTTATGGGCTTTTGGATGCAATCCCCCCCCCCTATGTTGGAGGCTCAGCATAAGTAAACAGGAAACCCACCTCAGGTGGGATGGGATGTCTCTCTCTCTCTCTAAGGATCATAGGGCAATGTAGCTGATTGTCCTCAGTTTATCCTGGAAACAACTCAGAGAAGTAGGCTAGAGGGAGAGTGAATGGGCTGGGTTTACTCAGAGAGCCAGTTTGGTGTAGTGGTTAAATGTGCGGACTCGAACCGGGTTTAATTCCCCACTCCTCCACTCGCACCTGCTGGATGACCTTGGGCAAGCCATAGTTCTGATAAGAGCTGTCCTTGAAAAAGAGCCATTTCTGTCAGAGCTCTCTCAGCCCCACCTACCTCACAGGGTGTCTCTTGTGGGGAGGGGAAGGAAAAGGAGTCTGTAAGCCGCTCTGAGACTCCCTTGGGTAGTGAAGGGCGGGATATAAATCCAATCTCTTCTTCTTCTTCTTCTTCTTCTTCTTCTTCTTCTTCTTCTTCTTCTTCTTCTTCTTCTTCTTCTTCTTCTTCTTCTTCTTCTTCTTCTTCTTCTTCTTCTTCTTCTTGCTTTGTCACTGAGTAGCAATTCCAACCTGGCTCTCTCTGGTTCATGTCTGACCAACTTATAGTGGCTTTCTCTGGCACCTCTGAGCCAGTTTGGTGTGGTGGTTGACAGCGGCGGACTCTGATCTGGAAAACCAGGTTTGATTCTCCACTCCTCCACTTGCAGCTGCTGGTGTGACCTTGGGTCAGTCATAAGTTCTTTCAGAGCTGTTCTCTCAAGAGCAGTTCTTGCAAGAGCTCTCTCAGCCCCAACGACCTCACAGGGTGTCTGTTGTGGGGAGAGGAAGGGAAGGAGATTGTAAGCCGCTCTGAGACTTCAGTGGAGGGCAGGCTATAAATCCTCCTCTACTTCTTCCTCTTCTTTGTCCTCCTCCTCATCAAAATGTACGCTCACTGAAAAGTTATTCTTCTCTACATTTCTGAGATAAAACTGGGTACTGTTGTTATCCTCAATGGAGACCCAAAGTGGCGTACATCATTCTCCTCTCCCCCATTTTATCCTCACAACAACCCTGTGAGGTAAGAACATAAGAAAATTAGAGAAGCCAATGCTGGATCAGGCCAATGGCCCATCCAGTCCAACACTCTGTATCACACAGTGGCCAAAAATACCAGGTGCCATCAGGAGGTCCACCAGTGGGGCCAGGACACTAGAAGCCCTCCCACTGTTGCCCCCCCCAAGCACCGAGAATACAGAGCATCCCTTTCCCCAGACCGAGAGTTCCTATCTATACCTTGTGGCTAGTAGCCACTGATGGACCTCTGCTCCATATGCTTATCTAATTCCCTCTTGAAGCCGTCCATGCTTGTAGCCGCCGCCACCTCCTGTGGCAGTGAGTTCCACGTGTGAATCACTGTTTGGGTGAAGAAGTACTTCCTCAGTAGGTTAAATGTAGTGTGTGTGACTGGCCCAAGGTCACCCAGCCAGCTTCCATGGCATGAGTGTGGACCCTGGAGGTTTTTTGCCTTCGGGTGGGCATAGAGTGGGGGTCAGTGGGGGAGCAGGGGAGGTAGTTGTGAATTTCTTGCGGTTGGACTAGATGACCTTTGAGGTCCCTTCCAGCCTTATGTTTCTATGAACCCATATCTCCCAGAGCCTAATCCGACACTATAACCACTGAACTACACCGGCTCTCATTATTAGCTGCACAGTTGCTACCATCACCAATGTTCCCTCTAAGCTGTGGAGTCTTGTGAGCAAAAATTCTACTTTGTGAGCTCCTGGCATTAAAGTTGTGGGTGACCGATTCGGCTCCTGCATAAATTAGCTTGCTCTGGAGCTGTCCTTCCTGAGCGATGACAAAAATGTGTGAGCCGGAGGCTAGAAAACAGTGAGCTAGCTCACACTAACTCAGCTTAGAGGGAACATTGACCATCACCCTTTATTAATATTACTCTTACTGTTACGATTTCATAATAATCAACTACCAACAGGAGTCATTAGTAAACAACAGTAAATAAACAAAAATGAGGGTTTTTTAAAATCCCGTTGTTCCTCCAAGGAGTTCGGGCAGCACTGATGTGTCTCTCCCACCCTTTTTAATTCTCAGAATAGCCCAAGGAGGAAAGTTAGGCCGATAGAGAGTAACTGGCCCCAGGTACTCATGGCTGTGTGGGGATCTGAACTCAGCACTTTTTAGTCCAAGACGACCCAAGCTTTATTTATGCTGGTTATTGCAGTGTTTCAGGGTTGTGTGAACAAGGTGATGTTTTCTCTAGCAAAACAACCGCCCACCCCCTGCTGGTTGCCAGGGTGTACCTGTCAACCCTAGGGAGAAAGGGTGGCGTATAAATGTTTTCTCTACCAAAACAACGTCTCTTGCAAAACAATCCAGGTGACGTTTTCTCCAGCAAAACAACCGGCTCTGTAAATTCTAGAGTCGCTCCGTAAATTCTGGAGTCCCTAGATTCTAGAGTCTCTCTTGATGGTCACCCCCCACCTCCATCTTTGCATTTCTCTCTCTCTCATCTCTAGGTGACTGCAGCCGAACAGGGGCTGAGTGAGACAGAGGGAGGAAGCTGGACTTGCCAGCAGTCGGGTGCTCCAAGGCCTGGCCCCTTGGTAGCATCCTTGCAATGCCTTCTGGGAAACTGCAGCAGGCAGAGTGGCTGATCTCAGTTGGGGAGGAGAAGGGGGAAGATCGGCCAGGGTTGTAAAAGCATCTTGGTCCCGCACTCTGAGAGCATTTGCTTGGGGCGAAGGCTCTGGTTGGGACATCTGCTTTCCCCGGTCAATGACAGAACGGTTGCTTCGCATGCTGAAGGGCCCAGGTTCAGTCACCACTGGTAGTGTTCCCTCGAAGCTGAGTTAGTGTGAGCTAGCTCACCGTTTTTTAGCCTCTGGCTCACATGTTTTTGTCTTCGCTCAGGAAGGAGGGCTCCAGGGCAAATTAATTCATGCAGCAGCCCAATCGCTCGCTCACAACTTTTATGCCAGTAGCTCACAAAGTAGAATTTTTGCTCACAAGACTCCACAGCTTAGAGGGAGCACCGGTCACCCGTTAAAGGATCTTTGCAGAGATGGAGAAGACTTTCTCTCTGCCTGAGGCCTGGAGAAGCCGTGGCTGGTCATAGGAGGTAATACTGAACTGGTGCTACCACTGCTACCTTTTGCTCTGGAAGAACCTGTAGGTGGAACACAAGCTTTGCATGAGGCAAGTCCTTCCTTCCTTTCTTCCTTCCTTCCTTCCTTCCTTCCTTCCTTCCTTCCTTCCTTCCTTCCTTCCTTCCTTCCTTCCTTCCTT